ACATATACATACACATACACATACACATACACATACACATACACATACACATACACATACACATACACATACACATACACATACACATACACATACACATACACATACACATACACATACACATACACATACACATACACATACACATACACATACACATATACATATACATTACTTGAACAGAATCTGAATTCTAGTTTTCTTTTGGAGCTGATGTCATTGTTGCACTAAGTAAGGGTGATGATTCTGAATTTAAGATTACACCTTATTGTGTGCACTGGGCTTGTTAGATTAGGTCACTATTATTTTCAAATTTCAACACTAAATCCTTTAAATTATGCTAGGTCATTGAGATTACATCTTATTGAGTGCTTGTTAGGGACTTAGGCCATGTTTTCCTCAATTTATTTTTTTACTTACTACTTATTCTTATTGGAATTAGATCAGAACAGAAATAGCTTTAAATAGCTTTAAATATGACTACATTGTGATGAAATTAGTCCAGACCAGATCAAAACTTATTCCAATCAGATCATGTGAAGAGAACATGGCCTTAGGTCACAGTTATATACAACATCAGTACAAAACAAGTTTTAAAAAAAATTATAAAAATCAGTAAAAAAAAGATACTTACCTCGTTTGGATGCTTACCTCTTCTGTCAAAAAGATAAAAAACGATGGTGATTTCATTATTCAGATTTCTATTTAAATTTTCAAAGACGAAGTTGGGAATATGTCTAATGCTTGCCCATATTTTGACTTTTTATATTAGTCTACAAGAAAGATTGTGGTTTGTGCATCTTAATTCTCCAGGCATTAAGAACAGTTCAAATTTCAAGTGAGCAAGCATTGCCAGTAGATGTTATTGACCTGTTTATTCTCCTCCGTGTCTATTGTACACACAAAGATGCTAGTTTATTTGCATTGACCAGCTCTATTTTAAACCTTTGTTGAACAAATAATGACTGTCAAAGAATATAAAGAATTACATTATACAACAATAAATATATACAGCATCAGTACAAAATCAAAAAAAAAAATCGTTAAAAAGATATGATCAGGCAGAGCTGGCGAACACAAAAAAAAATGTATAAGTTATTGAGCTCTGGTGTTGAAACTTGAAAAATTGGCAAGCAAATCCTCAAATCCCTATCAATAATCAATTTCTACACTCTACATCCGTTCCTTTGTAAAATTTATGAACAAATTTATCATGAGTAAAAATTGAACAAATTTCACAGGCGGCACAGCCGCACATACCTATACGGCTTCTAGTGCCTCACTCGTCCGACGTGCTCCCGGACGTCTGTGGAAAAGCGTTAATGCCTGGTCTACCCAGGGTAGCGCAGCGGTGACGCGTAGAAGAGGAGGGTTATTGCGTCGTGGAAGAGCCGCGTCGTTGTAGAGTCGGGAGCGGCGGGGCTGCGTCAAATCGTCAATTTGTGGTCTGCCTAGGGTTAGATCGTCAATTTGTTTTTAAAGACCAAAAAATCTGAGAAAATTTCAGTTTACTTAACTTATTTTTTTACTTATTATTTATTTTTATTATGATCAGATTATTATAGTATATTAAAAATTTAAATATAATTTATATATAAATCACATCAAGACTTAATTCAATCAGGGTAGGTTAAGAGAATAGAAATCACCTTAATTAATACTAAAACACAGAAAAAAATATCAAAATAGGACTTTCATATCTTTTTCCTAAAATAAGACTTTGCATTGTGGTAATGTGATTGTAATGTGGCATTGTACATGTGCACATTATTATACTTTTTGGTAATATACATGACAATATTTGGCAATGTAAATGCATTTTAAGTCCTATTTTGAAAATAAAAATATAAAATGCATTCCTATTTTCAATGTTTTAGTCATTAACATTCCTTACTCTTAATATTTAATCTTCTCATTTTTCTTTTTCTTCTGCATTTCTTCTTCTTTTTTACTTTTTATGCAATTTTGACGGAACCGTAATTCATAGACTTAGCCTCCGTTCACTTCAACTTATTTTTTCTGATCTGATCAGATTTTTAATAAGTTCTGATCTGATCTGATCTGATTGGATCTGATCTAATTGGATCTGATCTGATCTAATCTAATCTGATTGGATCTGATCTGATCTGGTCTGATTTGATCTGATTAATTATGATTTAATTTAAAATTTCAAATCAATAATTTGATTTGACTTTATAATAACGTTTGAAAATTGTAATGATAATTCATATTATAATATAATCAATATTTTTTATTTAATGATTATTTTCTAATAAAATAAAATTAGTTAATTCATCTATTAGAATAATCATTAATATTATAATGTAATAATATTTTTTATTTTATGATTACTTTTTGTGAAATTAGAACATTAATTTAATATTTTTATAATTACTTCATATATACATTAGAATAAATATTTAATTTAGATATACATTAAAAAGTAATTAAATTTAGATAATCAATATATAGAAGAGATAGTATTTTTAATAAAATATCTCATCCTTATAAAAGTTCAAAACTTTAGAAACTCAAATTACAAGTAGCAATAAAAATATATTTTAAAAGTAGAATTAGATTGACATTGTCAATGTATTTTAAAATTAATTTTTTCCGACGTCTAATAATTAAGGATTACTTTCTCAGTTTTCTATTTAATCTATTTCTAAAGTTTATTCATTTTTCATTTTTAAGAACAATAATAATAATAATAATGATGATGATGATGATGATGATGATGATGATAATAATAATAATCATAATAATAATAATAATAATCCTTGATGTGATCTGATTTTAATAAGTCCTGATCAGATCTGATCTGATCTGATTGGATCTGATTTGATCTGATCTGATGGAATCTGATCTGATCTGTTCTGATTCGATCTGATCTGATCTGTTCTGATCTGGTCTGATTTTAATAAAAATAAGAAAAAATAAGTTGAACGGAACGGTGTCTTACCTAACTAAATATTACCCGAATCGCAATCAAATAGTACAGCCCCCGATAACTATTTCTTCTAGGGAATTAATTTAGAAAAAATGTCTAATTATAAAATTATTCCTCCGTGAAATGATCATAAAGCAAAACTTATTTGTCACATAATCTTTTCTTTAAAAAGAAAGTGAAGGTTATTTTGAGACAGATGAAAATGAAAGAAAATAGATTTATTTGAGACGACTGAAAAAATTGAGAATTTTTTAATTTGGAGGTCACATATTCAAATTACATGATTACATGGTTCAAAAAATAAAAATATTCAGTTACAAAACTTGATCATAAATATATTTTGCTTATGTGAGAATATAAAAATAATTATGTACCATCAATAACAAGATTAAGCTTTTTATTGAGCTTATTACTGGGTTGAACATAACTTCAATCTCCTGTTGAAAAAATATATAATAGTCGGTAATTTTTGAGGCTACATTTTGGCGATTAACCAATTGAGGAATTTTATAAATAATCCTTCATAACATGAAGTTTTTGATATATAGCCTCAATTCTAATATGTTATATCCGTGGTTTTTTATATTAATAAATTATTTATGATCAGTTATGGACTATATAAAAACAATATTTGGATTAAAAGATTAATTATTAATGATTCTTAAATATCGAGAACCACGAATATAAAATTTTAGATTGAGAAATATATACTTCCTCCGTCCAAAAAAGAACTTTCCAGTTTGACCCGACACGCATATTAATGTCTGATAAAAATGGCCTTGACTTTCCAATTATACCCCCACACCTCAACACTTCTCCAACCCTGACCTCTCCAACATATCCCTCCGTCCATCCCCTTGCAACCACCAGCCAATGACCCTCAAGCACCGTCGACGGTAAATCTGAGGCACTCCGGCCTCACCACCATGCGGTCCCCCACTCTTCCCTACTGGCCAGAAAATATGCGGACCAGACGGCTGCCTTGATGCTCCACCTATACCTCCCGTCGTCTCATCGCTGCTCTACCTTGTGACCTTCGTCGGCAGCCTTGCTGCTCTACCGTCACCTCCGCTAAATTCTTCACTTTCAAAAAGAGGAAGGAATAAACTTGGGGTCCCTAACTTCTAATCCAACATCTTTCTCTAAGATCTATATATTGGAGTCATCAGATCTGTAGAAATATGATACCTCTTCATCAGATATGTGTATAATGATGACGTTGCAGGGTGGAGGAAGAAGAAATGAAAGAGAGAAAAAGAAGAAGAAGAAGAACAAAAGATTGAAGAAGAAGAACAAGATCGGGTGGACGAGAGAGAAAAGAAAAGAGAGAAAAAGAAAAAATGAAAGAGGAGGAAGAGTGGGGAAAGAAGAAAGAAGAACAAGAAAAGGAAAAAAACAGAATCGAGGAAGAAGAAAAGAAAGAGAGAAGCAATGAAGAAGATTGGGGTGGTTGCTGCCGTGGAAGTGTGGAACAGAGAAAGAACAGAGAAAGAAGAAAAGATAGTAGGGAGGGTAATAAAGACTTTTTACCATAAAAAAGTTTCCAAAAAAAGAAATGGGAAGTTTATTTGTGGACGGATGAAAAAGGAAAGTAAGAAGTTTAATTATGGACGGAGGGAGTATATAAACTTCATGTTATGCAGTACTCTATTTAGAAAAATACTTTAACCAATATGAAATCATTGCAATTACTCTTATGGTATGTTTGGGAACATGGATTTGGATTTTAAATCCGGATTTGACTTAAATTTCATGTTTGAGAAACTTAAGCATTTTGAATTTGGATTTGAATCAAATTCTTTACATTCAAAACAAAGCTTAATTTGAAATTCATGCACCTCCTCTAGTCATTTGAAATTCAGGATTTCAAATTTTGGAATTGAAATGCATGAATTGAAATGAAATGCTAGTTGCCAAACACTACCTTATCTAATTTTGGGACGCCTGGTCGCGTGGTGCCCAAAGAGAGGTCTCATAGTTCATGTTGTTTGGTGATGATATTGTGTTGATTGATGAGACATAGGAGGGACTTGATGGCAAGTTATAGCTATGGCGCCTTTCCTTGGAATCGAAAAGGTTTCAAGCTAAGTAGGACTAAAACTGAATGCATGGAATATTGTTTCAGTGGTGGAGTGACCGACCTAGACACGAAAGTTTGAATTAATTCCCACCCAGTGCCTAAGAGAGACAAGTTCGTTAGTCTAGGCTGATAGGGAGTAGTCGAGGATGTTGCTCATCATATTAGAGTTGTTTGGGCCAAGTGGAAGATGGTTTCAGGGGTACTTTGTGACAAGAAGATCTCAACAAGGATGAAAGTGAAGTTCTACAAGTTTACAGTGGGACCAATCATGTTTTACGGATCAGAGTATTGGGCAATTAATGAAACTCATATTCACAAACTACATGTTGCAGAGATGCAAATGCTACGTTGAGTGTTAATTTGTAGAGATAGAATTAAGATAATTGGGTAATATGACTAGTTTTCGTGCTCAATAATGTGTGCTTTTTTGCCTACTTTATATTTCTTTGTGCATGCTCTATGCTTCTATGCTTCTATGTTACTCAAGTTACAAGTCTCTTAGAAATAGTCTATCTATTTCCGAGTAGAGGTAAGGTTAACATACACACACCCTCCCTAGACCTTACTTTCGTGGGATTCTACTGGAAATATTGTTGTAAAAATCTTATAGAAGATCCTTTATCATGTTCATATCTTTCATTGGATTATTTTTATATAAATTCCATTACTCGAGTGAGAGTGGGCTCCCTGCATAATAGAGTTTGCTTTGTAATTATTTCTGCTTGAAAAAGTATACTCTGTATATTATTTGGACAAGAAGAAAATAATGAGAAAATAAACGAGGAGAACGAAAAGAGATACATCTAGAATTTTTCTTTATTTTTTTTTTGAAATTAAACATATCATTTATTAAAGATATTGCAGTACATCATGTGGGGGGGTCGGACCCCATTCCTGGCACCCGTTAATTGCCAATCTAGCAAGGGTGTGTGCAATCATATTTGAAAGTCTAGGGATATGACAAAAATTAACAAAACAGAAATAATATGCAAGATTTTTGCATTCATCTTCCACCGCACTCAAATACGATTGAGCTCCTGACACACCATTCTTCAAGGCATGAACCGCTTGAGCACAATCTGAAAAGATAGAGACTTCTTGGATATTCTTCTCCTTGAGCCAAGAGAGTGCCTCCTTAATAGCCACCGTTTCCACATATCTCGGCACCAAGGGACATGAAACCAATTTGTTGAAGCCCCCAACAAAACTGCCTGTGTTATCAAGAAGAGCGGCCGCCACCGATGTAGAATTATTTTGTTCAAACACGGCGGCATCAATGAAGCAGCGTGTTATTTCCGGCCGACTCATGTGATGAGGCCCCTAGTGCGTCGACGTCGACCCCGTGCCACCATGCAACATACTTCCTATTCTAGGCATGTATACATCCCGTGCCCATTCCGCAACGATCTCAAGTTTAATTACCTTTAATTCCCAGCAAGCATGGTTTCGGGCCTTCCAGATTGCCCATATGCCCGCAACCACCACTACTAATTCAGGAGTCGACATTGAACTAAAAGCAGACAGTAAGCAAGCAAAAAAATTATCATGCAAACCTGTAGCTAACCTGCTGCCAAGGAGCCTCCAAATCGTTAGAGCAAAAGGACATAACAGAAAAACATGCTCTAGTGACTCCTGTGGCGCACCACAAATACGGCAGTGAAGATCAATAACAACTCCTTTGGTTCCAAGAGCTATGGTCGTGGGTAAGACACCCCTTAAACATCTCCAAACACAGTTTTTTACCTTAGGCAAAATCGGCAGCCCCCAAAGTCGGCTCCACCGGTCAAAAACGCCAACCTGAGATGCTTCCCCGCACAGTCTCCTGTAAGCACTTTTCACAGTGTAAACTCCATGTGTTTCCGCCGCCTAGAACCAGCAGTCTTTGCGGGAGGGAGACAACGAAGTACGATGGATACGGATAGCGTCTTCTTCCGAAAACCACTCCCGCGCCACGTCCATTTTCCATGAGCCAGTCTCTTTATCAATAAGGTAAGAAACCTTGAAATTTGGGTAGAAGGGTGGTTTAGGTGATGTGATGTAAGGCGTGTCCTTGTCCCATACGAGAGTATCCTGTCCATCTCCAATCCGTCGACCTATGCCATTAGTAATAAGGTGACGAGCTTCTAAAATACTCCGCCATACAAAACTTGGTGAAGAGCCAAGTTCCGCATTCAAGAAATCCCCTTTTGGATAGTATCTCGCCTTAAAGATTCTTGCCACGATAGAATCAGGGTTGACCAACAGTCTCCAACCTTGTTTGCCAATCATAGCAATGTTGAAGTCACGTACCCTCCTAAAGCCCAGCCCACCAAATTTTTTTGGCGTCGACATCCGCTGCCATGAGAGCCAATGAATACCCGTTGGATTTGAGCTTTTGCTACTCCACCAAAAGTGATTCATAATCCCTTCTATTCTATGACAAAGACCGATGGGAAGAAGAAAAACACTCATGGCATATTGGGGTAGTGCTTGAGCGACGGTTTTAAGTAGGATTTCCTTTCCCGCTTTAGAAAGAAACTTTTTGCTCCACCCTCCAACACGGCTCCTGATCTTGTCTATAATAAGGAAAAGGTCTCAGACTTGTATCTCCCAATGAAAGAGGGTAGGCCCAAATACTTTCCAAAGTCCACGGCTTTCTTAACCCCACAAATATTTGTCAACAGGTCTGCATGGTGGTAGGAGTGTTGGTGCTAAAGCATATGGTGGACTTATGAAAATTCACCTTCTGACCAGAGAGATGCTCGTAATCTGTAAGACACTGACGAACTACTTGAGCCTCATTAGTTGTTGCCTTAAATAGAAGTAAATTGTCATCGGCAAAAAACAAATGAGAGATAGGCGGAGCTCCTCTTGCCACACGAATCCCATGCAGAAGCTTCCTTTCCTCGGCTTTCCTCAAGAGAAGGGATAGACCTTCCGCACAAACAATAAAAAGATAGGGGCTTAGGGGGTCACCTTGTCGGAGGCTCTGCGAAGGACATAAAACATCTGTGAGGGAACCATTAACAAGTGCTCTGTACCTGACCGAGGTCACACACATCATAACAAGACGGGTCCATCTAGTATCAAACCCGAGCCAACAGAGCATGCTTTCCAAGAAGTTCCACTTTACTCAATCATAGGCCTTCGCCATGTCAAGTTTCAGCCCCACCCAACCATTAGTTCCACCATGCTTCCGACGCAAATAATGACATATCTCTGCGGCAAGTAGGTAGGCAAGTAGGATGTTGTCAAAGATGAGTCTCCCCAGGAGGAAAGCTGACTGGTTCTCCGAAATCAAGCTTTGTAAGAGAGGCTTCATTCTGTTTGCAATAATTTTAGCGATGATTTTGTAGACCACGTTGCAAAGTGCAATCGGTCTAAGATCTCCAACAATTTCTGGCTTATTCTTCTTGGGGATTAAAACTAACGTTGCGTCCCCCAGGCCCTGTGGAATAGAGCCCCTCCGAAGACAGTCCAGGACAAACCTTGTCGTGTCTGATCCCACCACGTCCCAACATTTCTGAAAGAAAGCGGGATTCATTCCATCCGGGCCAGGTGCTTTATCTGGGTGCATGGAAAACAAGGCATTTTTCACCTCCTCCTCTGTAAAAGCTGCCAAAAGGATTTCGTTTTGTTCACTTGACACTCTTAGATGATCAACGCTCGAGAGGAAGTCCATGTTTAGTCTTCCATCTTCCTGCGGCCCAGAACAAACAAAGAGATCAGAATAGAATTCAGACACAAGTTTGGTGAGCCGTCTACCTTCGTTCCAGTTGCCATTGGTGTCCTTAAGCTTTTGAATGTAATTCTTCTTCTTTCGGTGCGAAGCATAATTGTGGAAATAACGAGTATTTCTATCCCATGCGCTAAGCCAGTGTTGTTTTGCACGTTGCCGTCAGTAGCACTCCTCCTTGTCCATCAAAAAATTGATCTCTTTCGTGATATTACTTCGTTCCGTCATGGCTGCCAAGCTACGAATTCCACGGAGTCTCTCCAAAACACCCTTCAACTGGCTAATTTTCTCGGATACATCCCTGTTTTTGCCTTCACCCCAACCTTTAAGTTTCTCACCACAAAAATGAGGCCTGTCCGAGAATGATTTGCCACTAGAAGAAGCCCAACATTCTTTTAAAAACGATTTAAAGGACTCCTCAAGCAGCCATGAGTTCTCAAATTTAAACTTGTGCCGTGGACGTATAAATTCCTTCCCATGGAGGAGCAAAGTTAAAACAGAGTGATCTGACCAGCGAGAGAGCTTGTTGACGAGTCTATTTTGTGGAAACAATTTCCTCCAGCTTGAATATACAACTACTCTGTCAAGTCGTTCTTCTACCCAGTCTGGGGTACCCTTCTTCCATTCCCACGTATACTGGTAGCCCTCCAAAGTCACATCCGCTAACTCATAGAAGGACAAGGCATTATTAAAACCTTCAATTAAGTTAGGGAGCCTTGGATTGCCCCCCTTAGAATTTTTCTTTATTTAGGTAAAGAGAAAGTGAAATGAAAGAAAGCATGATAGTGTAAAATGACAATTTTATCCATACTTTCATAAAAGTAATAGGAAAAATAACAGAGTAATAATAGAATGAACAAAGGCAATACTCCATCCGTCCCTATTTTGATTACAAAAACATGAATTACGATGCAAAATCTCGCAATTTTTGAAATTGTTTTATTTACCAATGGGCATATCAATAAAAATAAAAATAACATATTAAAAACTAAATTCAAAGTTCAACAAATTAGAAGTGACAAGCATATTTTATTTTGTTAAATAATCAATGAAAACACACAAATAAATAAAAATTATCCAGAAGAGAGAGAAAATAGAATGGTAATCAAAATATTGAGGAGAGAGTAAGTAATTTCTTCTCTTATTTGTACGGTTTTTTCCTCTCGTTTAAGAATATTTCTAAGCCTAGTTCCACAGTCATTTTCCTAACTCTCTTCTTTTTCAATTCATTGTTGGGATTCTAAATTCAAATGACATTGAAATCCAATGTCTGACATCTCAATATGTTTGCTTGTTTTGACTTTTCACATTCATATATTACTCCGTAGTATAAAAGTGATGCAATAAGTAGGACTATTTAATTGATGGGCAATGTCTGATCAGTTTGACTACAAATTTTTTTTTAAGGTTATCTAAAACTATGTTTGGTTCACAAAATTAGGAAAGAAAGGAAAATGATTTTCTCTCATTTTCCTGACCAAAATGAGAGGAATTTGATTTATCCTTGCTACATTTTGCTTTCTCATTTTCTTTTCCTTCCACTTTTCCTCTCTAACGAAACAAGAAAAATTATTTTCCACTTCATTTTCTTTTTTTTTCCCTTTCAAATTCCTTGCACCAAACGTAGTGTGAATGAGAAAGTGGAAAAGTGTTAACTAGATGTATTATCAGAAAAAGAAAGTAAAACTGCATTAAAAAGGAAAACATGAACTTCATAGATTTGAACACCATTTTAACATGGTTTCTTGTTTGAATCCGTCCATCACTTTCTTTTTCAAAAAAAAAACAAACATTTCGATGGATTCTACTCACCTGAGCATTGTTTGCAACAAAATGAAGACATATATGACCAACCACCCAATGGCTTGCACACAAGAACGTCAACACCTAGCGCGGCTCAAATGTTTGCACAAATGTTTTTTAATGAATCTTTCGGCATGCGTGGGATACGAATCTCGGACATACCGCTGAAGGCACTTGTGGTATGAGAAATCGATGCACCCACCGTCGGTTCTCACCACAAACATGCACCTCGTGTGCCTGAACTGGGGATGTTGATCGACCTAACACGAAAAAAATGCTTTTTTTAGAAATGAATCAACGGTATACTCTCTTCGTCCCTAAAGGAACATCTTACTTTCCTTTTTTTAGTTGTTCCAAAAAGAATGTTTCATTCAAATTCGAGGAAAGAAATGAGTGGTTCACATTAGATCCAACCTTAAGAAAATGAGATCATATCCAATAAGATCAGACGAAAAGAACATGCTCCTACACCACACAGATTTACTTCCTTAAATTCCGTGAAAAGCAAACAAAAACTTTTTTTAGGGACAAAAAGAGTAGTTTGAAACACAATCAAGTCGGATGCATAGATGCGAGATGTTAAGATAATAATGGCGGGAGGGGGTGTTTGTCAACTCTTTTTCACCAATCTTTTGGGTAATACACTTAGCAAAGGGATGGCTTGACTGTTTAGGTGGCACAAAAGACTAATTTTAATTTATTTCCACCGCAATTCACTTTTTTAAAAACTGTTATTTCTATTACATGTAGTACTAAGTAATTATTTATACATACTTTCTCAACTTACTGAAACAGAGTGAGTTAATGCCCCCACTAGGGTCATGTGACCTCATTTCATAGAGTTATATATACGTTGCTCGATCACACAATCTATGACCACTACAATTCACTTTAAGAAAACCGTTTTCACCAAAAAAGTTTGGATTTTATGATACAACATTGTAGAGTGAGCTTTTCAGGACTGACGATTCGTAGAAGCAATGACAAACACCCCCAATAGACCAAGTGAAAAGCAACAAAACCATGGGAGCATGTAGGAAACATACCATAATCGAATCGAGGCCAACACCAATTTTGTCTTCGGAATGAGGGTGGTGAGCAAGAAGCCTCTCTACCACTATCTTCTCATCTTCATCTGTAAGACGTTGTCCGTCCAGATACCTGATCAATAACTCAAATTCTTCATAGTTACCTCAACCCCAAACATATCCAAGGTGCAACAGGAATGCGTGATTTTGTTCTACAATATCAGGTTATTAGATACTCATTATAAACTATTCTTATCGTTCTATCTCTGTTAAATGTGTATAATAGTGAGATTCCAACCCAAAACCAAATGGCAATGGAAGTAATAACCATGTTCTTATATACTTTGGGTACTAGTTTTTTTTTAGAATGAGTACTTTATGTGGGATTATATCCTTAACATCCCCTAAAGTTCATAAGCTACTAAACATTAGCTCCGATACCATATAGAATTGCATCCTAAAACCAATTTAGAATGGGAGAAGAACTCATATTCCTAACAACCCCTCTTTATTTTACTAAAAAATAAGAAGTTCAAGAAAGTATAAGAGCTGTTTCAATGACTCTACACAAGTTAAAAATGAGAGTTGAACAATGCAGAATGTGAATGTAGTAACCAGACAATAGATATTGAAATCTGGAGAAAAAAAATGTGAGAAAAGATGAGACCTATCAGAATGAAGAATGTCTTTGGCGAGGCAAATGACAGGGTAGACATCTTCCATAATTTCAGCTTCTATTTTTTCCCAATTCAGGGCATCTGGGTCGGGCCGGATAGTACGCCGAGGTGGATCTTTGACCCGGATTTCGGACGCGGCCGGGTTCTCTCCGGCAGAAGATGGACCCTCGTCTCCGGTATGATCAACAGACTCGGTGGAAGACCAAAACCGTATGCGATCAAGGAAACTGCAGAAGGGGCGGCGGTTTTGATGATGGAAGGGAAGACGGAGGCGGAGAAACGGGGCAAACCGGACGGGAAGTGGAGCAGCCATATTTTGCGATTCCCGATATGACCCTGAACGCCAACGGGGAAAGTCAGACGGTGCTGCCGGTGCAAGACTGAAGCTTCTGCGGAGGAGTATAATGTATCTTTATTGGGCTACAAGGCCCACAACTCAATGTTGTTGGGTCATTTTAACATTGGGCTCAGTATACAAAGCTACCTAAAATTAGAATCATTTTGTAAAATACTCCGTAGTAAATCATCCAAAAATAGTTTTACCATTTTCGGGCCTGACATGGTCGATCCTAAGGCCTAAAGCATATTCTAAAAAAATTCATGACTTGATTTTTTTAAATAAAAGTTTGAGCTCTTTAATCACATATTATTAAAAAAGTATAATCGTTTATAAGTATAATCTTGCATGGACTTAAGGTCCATAGTATTTATGATAGACTTTCATATATGTTAGATAAATATTTCCTAACTTCTGATCAAAAAGTCTCACAACTTAGGCAAAAAAATCAATGTAAGAAAGGTTTTTCAAGAAGGATGGAGTACTATACTTCTTACGTCTTTATACAAATTTATTTGTTTGGCTTTCATACACTTCAAGAAAAACTGTTGGGAAATGAAAAAAGTATTACTCAATGAAATGAGAGTTAATTTTCTTTTCCACGTAACTCCCCACAATGAAAGTAAATATAATTATGAGATGTCAAAAAAAGGAAACAATTAATACTAAATCGCGGGAAAAACTAGCTTGCTGTTTAGTATGAGAGTTTGTTACCTTGTTAGCAAGAACCCTAAAATAAGAAATGACCATTGGCAGCATCTTGCATAATCATTTACGAGTAATTTACTATATTCATCATTTTTTCTTAAAAATTTATACTACTATAAGTTTAATAAATAAATTATCTATTATTAAAATAGATAATCTATAATCAAATTATAAAAAATAATTTTAACAGTAAATAAAATAAGAAATATTTTAAAAAAAATAAGTTTGGCACAAGAGCACTTGGGGACCGACCCGCTGTGTGGTGTCCCCCC